TAGCCCAGGCTGGCCTGGAACTCACAGAGATCCTCCTGCCTCTGCCTCCCCGAGTGCTAGGATTAAAGGCGTGTGATGCTGCCGCCGCCGCCGCCGCCGCCGCCGCCGCCACCACCACCACCACCCGGCTGACACAGAGACTTATTAGTTTTGAATGCCCAGGCTAGCTTAGGCACATTTCTGGTTAGCTGTTTAAACTGAAATTAACCTGTTTCTCTTTATCTATCATTTGCCTCGGGGCTTTTTACCTTTCTTACTTCTGTATATCTTATTTTCACTGCTTCTCTATGATGACGCCACCTTCAATTTCTCCTTCTTCTTCTCTCTTGTTCTTTCCTTTCGTCTCTTCTTTCTGAGCCTGGATTTCTTCTCCTATTTATTCTTTCTGCCTGCTAGCCCTGCCTATCCTTTCTCTGCCTAGCTATTGGCTATTCAGCTCTTTATTAGACCAATCAGGCGCCTTAGGCAGGCAAGGTGAAACAGACGTAACGTTTCTTTACATAATTTAACACACACCCTTACATTGTTGAACACATGCAGCATAACCAAAAGTAACACTCCTTTACAGAGTTAAAACAATATTCTGCAGCATAAACAAATGGACCACATCTTCGCCTAGTTAAAATGATATTCCACAACAGAGGACCTTGTAGTCTAGCCCCGAGGATGGCTGCATTTAGCTTCCCAGATGAAACAGAGGCTGGGGTCCCTGTGTGGTGGTGATGTACACCTGTGATATCTCAGCACTGGAATACAGAGGCAGGAGGATCAGGAGTTGAAAGCCAAGGAACAGGTTCTGAGCGAGTGGGAGAACCCTGGGTCCTAAGAATGTCTGGCCAGGGAGCTGGAAGTGTGCACTAGCACCACCCAGGAAGCTCTTGCCGTTAGCAGATTCTCAGGTGAGGATAGAAGACCCTTGCTCCTTGGTAGGCTGGTTAAAATCTGCCTACCCTGAGCTTGGATTGATTGCTTTTTTTCCCCGGGAGACCCAATCAGAGTCATAGGATAGTAAGGTCAGAGGTAATGGGGCTTATCCGGTCTCTCACCACATTGTGCAGACCATTGACAGGGCTGATGATTTGGTCCATCCTGGCCTGGGGCTCTCAGATGAACCAGTCCTCTCTGACAGGTCTCTAGGGCTCCTGGACACTCAAATAAACGAGGGGAGGAGACCATGGGCATTTGTCCTGACCAGCTCTTAGAGTAAGATATCCCCAAACAGGTAGAGATAAAAATGGAACCACAGATGTCCCCTCAGCATACCAGGCTGACGGTAACCTGAAAAGTCAAGCAACTGACCCATTAAAGAGAGTGACTTGTGGTTGACTTCCGGTTGTGCTAAACTTGGCTTCACGGTTCCAGGGTGTGTGGAACTTCATGGAATGAAGTGCAGCGGAGGGCAGCGGAGGGTTCCTGTCAGTGTGTTCTGTAAGTGGAGAGCAGAATAGAAAAACAGACTGGCCAGACAAAGGCAAATGCAGGTTATTTATAACTTAAGTTTTATTGTGTTTCTGCCATAACAAATTAATATTAAACACAACTAAGACACATTTATTACCTTATGGTTCTACAGGCGGTTAGGAGTCCAGCTGCGTCCCATTGGACTAACAAGGCATTTATCATTGTCAAGTCTTTCTGACGGTCAGGGTTTTTTTTTTTTTTTTTTTTTTTTTTTTAAGTCTTACAGGCCCAGGCTGACAGTCCAGTCAATCCTTTTGTATATATTCATGTGTGGGCATGTGCACCACAACACACTGTTGTACCCAGAGTCCCGCAAAGACCACCAAGAGGCCCAATCTGATGCAAAAGCAAAGAGTCTTTGTATTGTTACGAGTTAACTCGGGACTCCCCATCCGTCTGACACAGAAGCAGAGCAGGAGAGACCCCCGAGTAGCCATGGGGCAGGGTTTTTAAAACAAAGAGGGTGAGGGGTCTACAGACCACATAGGAACAGACTCAGGATTGGTTTATGCGAGTGGCAATCATGTTAGTAACTTTTAATTGGCTAGGGTTAATTGGGGGTTACAGTTATCATTTTTGGGCAGGCCTGGACAAGTCCCAGGCTCTGTCCTTGAGCTGCCATGGAGGCTGGCTGGCCTAGCACGTACTGACTATGGGGGCTGACTCAGTGGCCCAGGCTCTGTCCTTGACCCATGCACGTAGCTCTAAGTTGATCTGGCTGAACTTTGAGCAGTCAGATTTGCGCAGAAAGGGAGCTTCTGCAAGGACCATGCCTTTTGTTCACGGCCCTCCCAGAGACTGCTTGCTCAAGTCTCAGGAAACTGAAATTGAGGCCTGATCTCTGAGAGAAGACTGAGCAGCCTGTTATGGCATCTGCTTGGTCCTTTCAACACATGTGAAGGTCAGAGGAAAACTAGTCAGAGCTGGTTCTCTCCATCCATCATGTGGGTCCCTAACATCGAGCACAGGAGGTCAGGCTTGGTGGCAGGCACATGAACTCACTGAGCTATCTCACTGGCCCACGGCCTCCTATCTTGAGTGCCGGGATTACAGGTATGCACCAGCAAGCCTGCTTGCTCTCCTATTTTAAAGACACGAACCAACCACGCTCATATTCAACCTGCTTTACTTAATATGGACCAAGTGATGAGAACCCAGATCAAGAAACAGAGCCTTGGAAAGTGTGGCTCACTGGATAGCACAGCAAGATATCCTATGCCTGCTACTCAGAGGGGTCCCCATGTGGCCAATGAGTGTTACCGATGAGAAAATCCAAGTGATGTTCGTGTATTGTTCAACAAATACATTCTGGCACCTGTCCTGGAACGGATGCCAGGAAAACTCAAATGAATTGATTTGATGTTGGTCCTTTGGAGGCAACTGTGCGGGGTCGAGGGAGAGGGATTTCGAAGCGGCTAAGGACGCAGTACTTTGGTCAAACTCTTCAGAAGGCTTCCCAGGGGAGGTGAACCTTGCTGACGGTGATTATGGTGTTGGAGCAGCAAGGATTTCAGGCCAGAGCCTGGCCTGGCAGTGGGGATGCGTAGACAGTGAGTGACATGGCTTCCCTGGAAGTAAGGAAGTGTAACACTGCCAGCTTCTGAGACCTCGAACACGCTGTCTGATGGCCATATCCTCCCCCTCAGTCTCAATAGCCAAACCCCAGCTCTCCAGGCTCACAGCTGGTCACCTCAGCCTCCGTGCTGTGTCCTCATTAGCAGATGGAGGTCACAGGCCCAGGGAGAGAAGAGGAAGGCCATTCATTCCTTTGATGCACACCTTTCTACAGAGTCCCTCCTGTGCTTGGCTCTGGGACCATGGAAGGAGTCAGACTCAGGCCCTGCTCTGAGGGTGTCAGGGGACAGTGGCCCAGATCTCCAGGTGAGGATTGAACAGTGGGTCGAAGTTGCACATTTCCTGCTCTGGAGTGGTTTGCACACCTCATGGTCCCAACCCACCTTACTACCATGCCTTCCAAGGCATTCTTCCCGGCAGGCCTCTCTCCTCCATTGTCCCTCATGTAGCCTGAATTGATTGGGCCCTGGGAATACAGCTGTCAGAACACAATCTTGCAGAACACAGAGTGTCGCCGTGGGAAAATACTGTGGCTTACACAACAGGTGTGTGCTTTCTCCCCGTTCTGATGCTTGCCAAGTCCAAGGTAATGGCGCTGGGTGATTTGGTTCCTGGTAAGACCTCGAGGCCTTCTACATCCGTGCAACGTGATGATGTCGGGAGATGGTAAGGGTGCGGTGCAGAGAAACGGAAGGAGAGCCAGGCAAGGTGGGGTTTTGAGGAAATGTATTTGAGGGCACTGGGACCCAAAGGGGAGAAGAAAGCGCTGGGGAGCAGGACTGGGGAGAAGGGCACTCCAGACGGGGGAAGAGTCAGGGCAGGGCTTTATGCTTAGTATGACTGCAGGAGCTGACTGACCCTAGAGACACAGCTGGCTGAGGGCAGCTGTGTGCAAGGCCACGTACCCCAGTCCTGGGAAAAGACCACGGGGTGAGGTCAGAAGCCAGCCTCTGGCGGCTGCCTCCCTGGATCCTCTTCTCTTAGCTAGGGATGGATGCCCGGCTGGACCTTGGCCTTCATCAGAATCACGTGCCATCTGACCTCATCCACCTCTGGTCTCTCCATACCTCCTCAGCCCAGGAGCTAAGAAGACAGGGAACAACTCCCCAGCTCCCTCCCGCCAGTGTACAGCCGAGGGAACAGAGGCTTCCCAGCCTGCACCGGTGACCCCCACCTCCCCCAGGAGACTACCTTTTGGAGGTGGTTACTTCTTGCTGAGTTCTGGGAAGCAAGTTTTCAGCAGAACCTAGGTGGAAGGCTCAGGAAGAAAGAAGCAAAGCTGGTGTGGTGGAGACTAATTGCACAGGGCAGTGACTGAGCGCAAAATCAGTGCGGCGCAGAGGGGGCGGCTCATAGGCGTGACTCTACTGGAGGGAGGACGGGGGCGGAGTGGGGCTGGGAGAAGGTGGGCTCAGGGTGGGGGGAGCACGGACAGCAGGGAAGGTCAGGAGACCTAGGAAGATGTGAGGAGGACATGACGCGACAGGTTGCAGCGAGGCCGCGGTGGGCACCCGAAGTTGGCAGAAGCTGGCCGCAAGGAAGTAGGCGGGGCCAGAAGTGGGGGCAGGACCAGGGACAACACAGTCTTAGCCGGAGATTGGGGCGGGGTTTTGAGGGTAGGAGGCGGGGGAAAGGGCGGGTTTAGGGGCGTGGCCGTGTCGAGGGCGGGGCCTGGGCGGTGTCGGGCGCGCGCGGGCGGCGGCAGAGCGGAGGCTCGCAGTGCTGGGCTGGGCTCCCG